CATTAATACATATACCTATACATCTGAAACAGTTTTAGTTGTTACCTTTCTACGCTTTTTTATATGTTTGATAAGTTATGATGTGCCAATATTCACATTTGTCAGTGTATAACGGGTGCACTATGCTATATCTGTTCTAGATATGATGAAAAATCCACTTGTTATAATGACACAAATTTTGACAGGTCATTGTTTACGTTTAGGCAGTTTTGTTTTTTTGTAGAGAAAACTGACCATTTTTATTTCCCTTTCCTGTTTTCATAGTGGAATAACAACTGTTTGCAATTTTTAGTTTCACTCGTACATGTATCAATAGAATAAACTTGGCTATTCAGTTTTAATCAAATGTAATTTTTCTGATTATATTCTAACCACAAAGTTGGCTCATTTTGTGTAGCTACTCCCTGGCAGCCATGCTTGGCTTATGGAACAGGAGAGGATGTAACAGTGGCGTTGACATGGCTTTATTGTCAGTTTCACCACCGTCCCTCAAAGGTGTTGAGGGACGGTGGTTTCACTAAGGTGTTAATTGGATAGAGGATTATAACTAAGGTTACATGAAAGAGATCCCTGTTTTCTAAGGTCTATGGATGAATAAAGTACTTCACTTCACGGTTTGACAAAAGTCGCCGTTGGCAATAAAAGAGCTACCGCAATTATTAATTAATTCCCACGTAATATTATTATAATATTTGTTACCGTAATTTGCCGTACACCAGTCACGTGGTACATTTGGTACATCATGGGAGGTTGTCTCTTTTCTACCTCCATGTTCGACTGGACCTTTGACCGGATCTGAACGCTAGCTGGATGTGAAGTTAAGGTATTACAGAAGACTATGTTCAACACACATTGGCGTGTTGAGTTTGACTGTGCGTGTATATAAAAAACAGAACGGAGCAGACGAGCATGCGCAGTTATAACTTCAGTGTGCAGCCGAGCGTGATATACACTTAATATTGCGGGCAAAACGGTATAAAGTACCAATCCGAAAAGTAAACCGAAAAATCACAAGTAAACAAGTACATTTGATATATTATTGCATAAATGTAATTAGCATAAAGTACAAAAAAATATTTTGCCGATTAGCCATTCTCAATCATAGTCTGAAAGTCAGTCAGTTGTTGACGGTGACGTTGATGAGCTGATAGTTACCCCCGCAACGAAAGTGTGAAAAAAAACCAAGTTAATGAAATTCCAGACAGCTGTAGAGAATGGATGACCAGAGCGAACGAAAGTCGAGTACACAGGCTATTCCAATAGGTAAACCACAGTCTGAAATCGCTAAATAAAGTATCCTTACTTCAATTCAATAAACAACTCAATAAAACGTCATTTGAGAAAAAAAGAAATGTTTCTATTTATAATTGCAGTCTCATCAATTATAAAAATTACTAAAAAACAAAAAAACAAAAACAATTCTTATATTCAACCTCAATTTTGAAATAATTACAGAGGATAAATTCGCTCATTTTTGTTTTTTATTCATTCTACTAGTTTATTTCCCGCGAAATTAGGACTTGCAACGGAAAGGTGACAACTTAAATTTGAGTAATAAAGTTCCGCAACATATGCGAAACGTCACCATGTCATATACATGTACCAGTAATTGTTATGAATAAATCACACAACGCCCTCTAGTGACGAATATCTAATGTGGTAAAAGAGGGGTCAAGGAAGTTTTCACAGTGAAATCTGGACAGTCGTTCCTAACTACTTACCTGGATTACACTCTCGTGTATCACCCCGCGCCCTCAAACATCAGGCATTGTTTTCATTGTGAGATATTAACGACTCAGTACACTAGTAGTGTATTCAAGACCGATTTACCAGCCATAGTACCGGCCGTGCATTAATGTGCTGCTTTAGAACCATGTACCAATAATTAAACATTTAGCACCACATCTCAAAATATCTCCATGGTACCTATAGTGAAAAACTATTTAGTTATTACATCACCAATTGCATCAAAACAGCACATTTTTTTTTCATTTTTTGTGCTAATCTGAAAAATTATGACATGTATCCAAGTCAATATATATGAAACAAAAAAATGTGATAAATTTCCCCCCTTATTCATTTATAGGCAGAATACGACTTTAAGGACAATACTTGAACTGCGCTTGTGCAACGGTGCTTGTTAAATGCGAGAATCTGATTGGTTGTTCTTTTCGTCAGATATATAATATTGTAATTCCATTTGTTTTCCAGGTCTTATCTGCAAGTTCTCGCGGGAGGAGTTATGATATTGATTTCATTTTGAGAGGTCCCACTGGCCAAATGATGAAGAGGATTTCAGGCGAGGAAGATGGGTCTTACAAAGTAACGATAACAAGAGAAGGTAAGTAAACCATTCAGCTACATTAAAGCGACACAGTGATCGCGCAGTACGTGTTCTGATTTCGTGTAAACAAACAATGTATTTTACACGCTGCGTGACGACTACCTTCATTTAAAGCGGGGGAGTCGTCACCTGCGCATGCGTCAGTTGACCATAGCGTTTTTAGCGTGTGTTGTTATCGTCGCTTGGGACTCAATTCCCGCACATGCGCATGTGACGACCCTCCCGCTTTATGCTTGTTTTAGAAGTGAGCTTAAAGGGTAGAGATCCTCGCTATGTGTAATGTTGGATACGAGTCCAGCGCAGGCATTCAACGTAGGGATGCAATTTACATATCTACATGATTATTTTTGTTCACTACGAGTTCTCACTTATTGCGTGAAAAGGTACACAGACGTCTACCGCAAAAATCGAATGATTTTTTTTTTTTTTTTTGTTTCATAGCCCAATGTTGAAATGTTGAGAGGGGAATATTGCGTTAGGTATTCTCACTTCAAAAAACATTGACCATCATCAAATGTGTTGTAAAAGCACGTTATTAAAAGGCGGTAGTGATTTCCACTAGAAGAGCGCATTGTACTGTGGGGAAATCAATGTTTATCAACACAAATGTCGCACATGCGGCCGAATTCGGCGTTTTTGTGTGGAAAAATCCCTTGCATACGAACACCTAATCACACGAAGAACATAGAACACTTTCCTGGGGTATTTGAAACCGAGATTGTCATCTGACTGTTAAGCTGTCGCTGATTGGCTGCTGAGCTGGAATGACAATTTTTTGTTTCAAATACCCCACGAAACCCCAAACTACAACTTACGACTAGCAGCTGCAACCTTTAAAATGTCGTGTTTACTTTCACACACCTAGTCACGAATAATCAATGACACCATGAATAATTAATAGCAGTCAAATGCCCGGAAATGCGTCAGGTCGGGATTTCTTTTGCGGTCACGTTAGTTTTCACGATCACGCTAAAAGGACTTAGAACAATTAATTATTAATTAAAACAATTAATTATTAATTAAGTTCCGACTTTGCCAGTCTATATGCATGTGTGTGTGTCCGTTCGTTCCACTGATATCTCAAGAACCATTTGTTGTTTTTTTGATGAAAGTTTATGCATATATGCTCTGATATAATGCGCAGATTTGAATAGGTTTTGGTTTAAATCCATGCATGTTAATTACCTAATTTACATGATAATTAGCTGATTTTTTGCTGTTCTGTTACTGTTCCACTGATATCTAAACAACAACTTATTGGATTTTGATGACATTTTGGACATAGGTGCTATGGAATGATGCGCAAAATTTATAAGTTGTGGATAAAAAAACTGCACATATTAATTACCAAATTGTCAGCTTTTTTGATATATCAATTAAGATGATCACATTACAATGGAACTTGATACATAGATGCTCAAGGACTATGCACAGATCTAATTAGTTTAGGGTAAAAATCTGTGCATATTAATCACCTAGTTTACATAATGATTGCAACGATCTAATATAATCTAATGTTAAGAGTTCATATATATTACCTAATTTGCATAATAACTAGTCATATTTGAGCATTTCACTTGTTTCTCAAGTACTATCTAACAGATTTCAGTGCAACTTGGTACATAGATGCCCTGGGATATTTCGCAGGCCTGATTAGTTTTTGGTTGAAATAATGCGCATATTAATGACCTAACTTACATATTAATTAGCCAATTTTAATCATTTTCACTTCTCAAGCACAATTCAAGAGATATTAATAAAACATGGTACATCGATGCTCTGGGATAATATGCGATCCCGATTAGTTTTTAGTTGAGATCAATGTGATATGACTAATTTTTCAGATGGCTATATGTGTTCAAATAATATGCAGAACTAATATCTGAAGTACTATTGCAGATAGGAACATATACTGATGCTATGATTTTGTTGTCTGACAAGATATGTGACCAAAATATCAAGGCATAATATATATAGTCATTATTTCGTTAAATATTTATAATTGTCAAAACATAGCTACTTGGGACCACCATATATTTTTAAATGGTATATTTTTTGTAATTGAAGCACATGTGCTGACTAACTATCATTATATAGTGAATGCAGTAAACCTTGTTTGTTCTTCATGCACCTTCAGTACACGAGAGTCCTCTCTAAGCTTTCTTTGATTTTTATCTGATTTAGGCGTTTATACCATGTGTTTTGACAATGGGGCCAGCAAGTTTACTGCTAAGAACGTGTATATAGAAATTACTATAATCCAGCGTGGGGAGTGGAGGAAATACATTGAAATGCAGCGTGGGGAGGTTGAGGCGGAAGAAGATGCAGAAGAAGAAGTGGAAACAGCTTTGGACACCGTGGCGGTATGTAGTAACCATCGGCCAAACTAGGACACACGAGCACACCAACACACAGCCCAAATGGTCTGCTGGCAAATATGTTGTATGTAAGGAAGTGTTTTGTCCGACGTACAGAGTCCTCACCGGCCGTCACAATATGCCCTCCACTGATTTTGTAGGCAACCTGAGTTGAAATGGAACCCCACAAATCAAATTGAGTCAGCTTACTGACTAAACGTTTCGACCCAATTGTAGAATTAACTCGACTCCACCTTCACTCCACAGCACTGATGTGCAATACACTACACTACACTACACTACACTACACTACACTACACTAAGCTACGCTACGCTATGCCACACTATACTACGCTATGCCACACTACACTACGCTACACTGCACTTTCCGCGTCGTTAGATGTTGTTATTAATTTTACACGAGCAAATTAAATGAACACTGTGTGTATACTTCCATTAAATGTCCTCGCAAAGATTGAGCCCTCATCACACGTGCACGTTTTACCTTTTTTCGTAATTCTCTTATTTTCTCTCTGTACAGGATTCGATGGTGGATAAAATTGAGACTATCGCCGATTTGATTGATGATATGATATTCAAACAGGTGTCTACCAGGAGGATCGCAATAAAAGACTGGTATCTCGTGATCCAAAACAATTCATACGTACAGCAATGGTCAATAATCCAATGTATTGTCATTGTCGCCGCATCGGTCTTCCAAACCTTTTTTGTACGACGTCTGTTTAATATAAAGACAGTAACTCCGACGCAGAAACCCCGTGCGTAATAGTGGTATTGTATCAGTCAATGAATATCCAGCGTATGAATACATTTTCACGTCACTTTGTATGAGGGAGCTACGTTATCTCAAGAATTTGTATAGAATAAAACATTGTATCTGGTTATTGGAAATTTAACAACGAATCTTTCGGCAACGAATCTTCCTTTTTAATGGCGTGCCATCTGGTTGGCAACCACCGTCCATTTAAAATAGGGATTGGATGGCAGTTCGAATATTTTCACAAATTTCACTTGTCATGAAAAATAGATTATATGGAATAGAAGCTGACTACACCCATCCATCTGTTTTATGTAGACAACTCCGAGCCATGTTTACAAAAGTAGTTCTTTATCTCACCCAGAATTGTTTTTTTCTTTTCTCTACTCATGTAGTAAATCACAATTCTTCCCCATTTTTTGTCAGTTATTATGTAACTGTATGTTATTTGTCTATGCCTGTGACTACATTTTAACATGCAGATAGACTTTATTTCATTTTAGAAATATTTCAAAATGTCTAATTTCTTCTGCCTCAACATTCTGAAATGTGGAAAAGTTGGAAAAGTTTTAATTGACAGTTTTCAGTTTTCTTTCATTGACCGTATTTGTGCAAAATCTGTTCATTTACACTGAATTAAAATATTGGCATTTCAACCTGGTGAGTTAAATTTAATGTAAAAAAAAAATAATATACTTGACGACTACTTTATCACTATTTCTTGTACATTTATCTGAAGTTATTTATTAAATAAAGCTGTGTGCCTGTATCCACTATTATTTTCCAAAACATTCGCGCATATCACTAACACGTGTTATTTTTAACTCGCAAATTCATTTTCTCGAATGCCCAACCAGGTATAAATACACGTGTGCATTGCTAATTTTCAAATTTCAAAATTATGTAATTCGACCAATTGTTTTTTTTTTTTTTTTTATAAAGAACAAACTTGCTCAGCTCGATCGCCAGGCATTGCCTGCTACATATTATTGGTTGTCTGTATTTCATATTTCAGCGTAAATATTGCTCAACGTTCCACGGGAGTGCCAATTTCGATGCAGTTGTTTCACAATTTAGTTAAAGCCAATGATTAAAAAAAAAATCAATTAATAGTGTTCCTAGTCCGTTCTGACTTCTTATCTGATACTAGGTCAGCCAATTCCTTCCCTGCCAAAATGTAGGGAACGTGTAATTTTCTCCTTTGATTCGCTTTCGCATTTGGCAACACAGAGACGGCGGCACAATGTTGCACTGGGGGCTCACCAACCTTGCGCCAAAGGCGCGACCTTACTATAGTGTCCGGGGGCATGCTCCCCCTTAAAAAAATATTGAAATATAGACCATTTGAAACGCTATTTCCTGCATTTTGAGGGGCCAATTTTGCTGACACAAAGGGTTTCACATGATTTTGAAGGGGCGCCGCCCCAACACCCCCTGTGTCACCACCATTGAAACAGACGAATAGTTTGTGACGTCACTTCGTGAATAGTTCGAGAACCAGTCTTCAAGACAGTGTTGGGAGACTGGTTTATTTCACTCGTCCTCGGAGTGGCATGCGATGCAAGCGCTGTAATATCCTTGGGTGTATTTCTTGCTTATTAAACAATTTCAACTTGCAGATGAGTTTGTAAACATCAACAGTTGCATTAGCAACATAACAAAAACACGGCACAAGTACATACTTGATGATTGCTAATTTGCTGATTGCTCGAGAACTTCGTAATTTGGAATTCCCGAATGTACAACTTCGACAACACTCACGTTTACTATTATGTAAACGGGTATAAGGGATGTCTCTCACAACGTCCCATTATTTCGATTTGAACGACACCATTTACACTAATCCCCCTGGGATAACTAGATTACAAACAATAGAAGAGACTATTCTTGCGTAATCCCACCATTTCCCTTTTAAAAACATACTAGTACATTGATAAAACAATCATACACACATTGTTAATCCCGGGAGGTATGTGGCAGACATTCACCTGTGTAGATTACACTTTGAATTGCTATACGAACGTCACAGATAAATGCATCGCACGAGGGCGCAAGGGGTATCCGGGCATTTTCACCGCATGGCAACCATCACGGTGAAAACAAATGCCGAAAACTCTCAGAAACGGTACTTTGGGATGGTTGATGGAACTCCCCTGAACAGTGTAACAAGATTACGCCTGTGTGTGTAACGCATATAAATTTGACTGGTATGGATTACCGATTACTTCAAAGTTGAGTTCCTGTTGTTTTCTCGAATTTTCACCGGCTCTTCGCTCGGCGTTCCGCGTTCCTCAGCAGCGCGCACAGAGCCCGTAGAAATACGTGGTACAGTGGTGCGCGTCTTAGCAACGTGGAACGTCTTGTGCTGTAGCTCCGCCCATGGATTGGCTCGAGGCAATCTCTTTCCCATAGGATTAGGTCTTTGCGCTTTACGCCACATGCAGCCTTCAATTTTGTGGTCAATCACCACACTACGCACGGCCATTTTCCCGAGGTTTCTTTATATGAAACCGAACTACTGTAGTATGTGACATCCGAACTATTTTTTAATGTCAGAACTTCAGTAAAAACGTAAATACGAACCATTTTATTGCGGACTATGTTTTGCAAGGTAATGTTATTGTATGAAATGGCGCACGTCACAAGACGTTCCACGTTGCTAAGACGCGCGCCACTGTACCATGTATTTCTATGGGCTCTGCGCGAGCTGCTGTGGAGCGCCGATCGCCGAGCCCGTGACAACAGCTAAATCCGAGAAAACAGTAAGCCTAAACAACCAATTTTATATATGTTGCGCACGCATGGCTAATCTTATTACACTGTTCAGGGGGGTCTCAACAACCATCGCAAAGTATCGTTTTCTGAGAGTTTTCGGCCTTTGTTCTCACCGCTATGGTTGCCAGGCGGTGAAAATGCCCGGATGTCCATCCCTGAAAATAGCTGTATGCACTGTAATATATATTTATTATTTCAAGAGTGCTTGTGCTATAGTACTATAATATGAACTAGTTTATTCACGGACACGGGATGATTACGGCATATAAACCATAAGTTGAATTTCGGTAGCTGCAGTTGGTCGATTTCACGACGAAAACCGCGGAAAATAGAAAACTACAGCGAAATCCCCGTGTTTGCCGCCATCTTGAATAAGTTATTGTGACGTCACGAGGCGTCACAGTTTTCCCATTTTACGCGGTTTTTGTCGTGAAATAGACCCATTTCGGACCATCGTCCTCAAAATGATTGATGAAAAAGTTTCGGGACCCATCGACAGTAGAAACTTGAGGCGAAAATAATAATAAAAAAAAACGGCTGTTTACGGCCCGACCTGATTTCAGGTCGGTAAAATATGGTAACTCGCATAAGATGGAATGGTAGCTTCCTGGTTTCGCGTTAACACCACGACAAACGAAATAACCGACAGGGAAACCAAGCGAGCTACAGAACTGCAGCTAGAATTTCGGCCAATCAAATTGCCACTATGAATATTCTGTTCCTCGAATAGTCGATGTTGTCGGTATTTTGATTTCACAATCCCTGCTTTCTATAGGTTACGGCTTATAAGCACGAACATTACCGAATGCCCACTTGCCAATTTATGACTGTCGTGTGACAAAATAATTATTCGCATGTTGATTAAGTGTTTGCTCGAATTTGTTTGCACGTTTTTCCAATCTACACATATCAAATAGGGCACCGAGCACCCCTTGGTATATTGGTATCTCCTGTATTTATTTTCAAATGCGATTCTTGCTTCACGTTACAGTAATTACTATCAATGGGGGGGGGGGCTATCACATCATCGAAAACTATCTCTTGTTTGATTTACATGGACCGCCTGTGACCCCATCTCTGACCACGATATTATTGCAGCTATGAGTTCCACGGTCCTAGCATTCATATTTTTCGGCGTGACAGTTGTCTCGGTACTAGCGCAACCCGGCACGCAGTCAGCACAGGGAGACCCGTTAATAAAGGCTGGTAGTCGTCCATATGTTAGCTACGACTTTACAATTCAAATGCAAGCCAGAGCAGAAGAATGCTTTCACCAATATATAGCAGTTGGATCCACTTTGAACGTAGAATATGAGGTAAGTGTAACGTCATAACCGATTTCAACCTGACATTGGCTCTTTTTTAAATATAACGTGACGCAGTAACATTTTATAATATGTTTGAAATTTCGATATTAATGAAGTTTCTGGGATTCAGGTACAGCATTTCAATACTTTACAAATAAATATACACTATTTGTATGTGGCTTCGATAAGGGTGGTTCAATATATCACATGGGTGTGTTGGCGAAACACCCTTTTCAGTTATCTATAAATAAAACTGGCGAAACACTTTTGCAAAATTATATTTGTTTTACTGTGTAGGAAATACGTGCAGGCGATTCTCATAAAATACAATATGCGTAATTGTATCTTGTTTAAAGCGGGAACATTCAGGTACACTAAATCGTGATAAATACTAGTAGACAAACAGGGGTGTTAGTTCTCAGCGTTATTTGGCCGATGGACTTTAGTACTTAGTACTCTGAGAGAAACCACATGTGGCTCTGATAAGAATACCGGCATAGCTAGAAGTGGAACAATAATTAATGAGTGAGTTCACTCATAAAAAAACAACAACAAAAAAACAGTTTTTAAATTCACCGAGGATATCATTGGCGAATCATAATTCTAAATACATTAGTACGGTTGACCCCAGGTATAGTAAAATGTGCACGAAAATAAAATGTGCTTATTTTTTCATGAGGAGCTTATTATATTTATTTATATATCGTGTTCAAAAGTCTTGTTTTGAACGCCTGTAAATCTTCCGTCAAAATGTTGGTGCTTCATTTTTCACAGTATGTGCTGTTCTTTAATTCATGAATTCAGACCCAAATGGACATAATTTCTTATTGACTACAAGTTTTGATCACGATTGGACGAAATGAAATATATAACAGTTTACACGGGTTACATCGAGAAATGTGACAATAGTCGCCTTGGACAGGTTAATGAATTAATAAATTGGTTAATTGTCTTCTTATAATTGTTACCCTAATTTACATAGAAACATGCGAGTACCTTGACGTAATTATAAGTATACAAGTCAAATGACAAGACCGTGACGAATAAGCTATCGTGCGCCATGTGCAGTAAATTTCATGGGCTCGACCATACGTTAAAGTATGATGTTTAGATAAGGTGACAGATACGATCTTGACACAATTTTTGCGATATTGCGTTCGTGTGAAATATGTATGTGTGAAATATATAGTAATGAGCGGGTACCGCTGCTGTACATTTTGTCGTCTGGCATTTGTTTGGTCTCCGCAGTAGCTATGCGCGTGCCATCATTCAAACGCCAAGTACCAGACCACATTTTGAACTATTTTTAATCGCAAAGAGCCTACTTTATTTAACAACCTGCTAATGAATCTGATGTCCCGCGCCAAATACTCAAACATCCCCCTGAGATGCGCGTGCACAGTTGAAATGTGATAGTCTGTGATAGTCATGGCATATATTAATGTATTTCTATTAATTTTCCAGGTATTATCAACAAGTTATCATGGGAAAA